AAGAAAAAGAGATACCTGAAAGTATGACTAGGAATTGCACGCAACCCGATGTAGGGATACCCGTAAGAACACCCGGAAGCGCAAAACGCAGAGAACGTAAATAAGTAAGAATAAGGATATATGTGCAGGAACTTCCTTGCGCGGAGTTTTCTCGAAGTGATCCGATGGTGTCGCGCGCAAGCTACGTTGCTTCTGCTCTCATCTGAGCTCTCTCGGTGAAATAGCGTGCTGTTATACCACAAACTCGCATATCCAATTTCCTCCGTATGCTAATAAGGCTTGGTAATGGTCCCTGTCCAGGACCTCCCTACAAATGTCGCTTCCCTATCTAATAGTTGCTGGATTCGTGGTGTCCGGAGATCAATCTGGAGTAGCTTCTTTTTGTTCACTAACCTGCTCTCACTGAAGTGTCGTATCAGAATGGAGGGCTACATGGATGCCAACAGCTCGAATTCCCTTTAGTTCAGAAGTTCGGGCACAAAAACATGGTTTTCAGCGCCATTAGCACAAGCTTGCACAAAACCTACCCTGGGTATAGACGTGCGCCACCATGTGGCGCACGCGCGAGAGCTGGTAAAAAAAAAGCCAGCCGGCACACAGGCTAGCTCACACAAAAACGCCGCCGTCCGTTACGGTTAGAGGCACGGTCGGTACCGAATTCGGCGTGATATTTTGTTCAAAAATTAGAGCAACGTGAATGGGGAGGAAATGCAAAAGGATACTATCGAAAATGGAAATGCTCTTGTGAGATCAGCCATGCTACGACAAAGGGACACAATGGTGCAAGGAGAGGGAAAACGCGAGAGTGCACGACGAGAGAGCGCACGTACGCGGAAGAACGGTTGCAACGGACAAGTGAAGACGTTAACACCCTTCTCCCACACTTTATAGTGTAACGGTCTCACAAACCAGTGATTGAGGGGTCTACTGCGTCGTTCAATATGAGAATTTCTCAGAGTATTCAATCGCGACCCGTGCCTTGCCTAATGATTCGCACGTAAAGCTTTCTGTACAATTTATTTTCTCCAATGTACAAATGAATCACAATAGCAGACTAAAAGAAATACTCTATGAAATAAACGAACAAAATGAAAAACATTGATAGAATCTCTCAAATCCCAGATCAAGTGAGGAAAGAAAACAGCTGACTGGATATAAAATGCCATCGTACGCGCAAAGAAAGAGCTCTATTGTTCACTAGTCGCCTCAATACCTCACACTAATAACACTAAAGCTTCTAGTATGTCTAAAAAACCAAATTACCGAGATCACTTCTTGTTCATGATGTCAGATAGCCCGAACGAATGCACCACTGAGTTGCAATCTTAAAATAGACATTTATAGTTAAAGCAATAAGAGAATATCCATGTATGTGGCAATCGTTACTCTAGTGTGGCAAAAGTCGACCGCCACGGGCAAACAGGTCAAGCTTGTTAATCGTTTTCCAATTTTTTTTTTTTTTTCGAAAAATACAGCCTGGGGTGTGACAAATGTCTAACGAACACACAAATGCTCTTTCTCCAGTTTTCAACCTCCCCTCTTCTGGCTCCCGCCAAAAACCATTTTAAATTTGCCAGAAATGGCTCCCTCCCTCTTTCACCACAGCACGACAGTCAACTTCCACCCCCATGTCTGGTCATCTCAAACACGATCACACCTTGTACCCCTTGTACCTCATCCCCTTGACTCCATCAATAGCATAGAAAAATCAAAATGTGACCCCCAAGTCCCGAAACGCTCCCCTCCTCCCATAATTCTGATATCACAAAAACCCCTGAAATTATGGATAGTACAGCGGAACGTTGAGGTGGTACATGTGTGCGACTTAAGACGAGATCACAGAACTATATAGCTCACGCTTATGATTAGCCTACCTTTATAATTGTGGAAAGACGCTGTCTTCCGATAAAAGAACTCACCCCGTTACCGTAACACGACAATTCAAGCTTCGCGTTCGGGTCTGATGGATGGTAGGTTCTGAAGCGACAATACGGTATGTCGGCAAGAGCAGCAGCAAAGAGACCTGCACGCGCAGCTACGGTACGGAACTCGCTGATGGTTACTGTCGAATTGAACAGGATTGACTTGATCATCCACGGAACCAAGAGTGTCCGCCATGCCTGAACGGATAAATCTATGAGTATTTCAGGAATCGGAACTAATACATGACAGCGAATTGTGACTCCACCCCGAAGGCAGCTCAAATATTCACCTTAATGAATTGGCACATGTCGTCGGCAGTGATAGCAGTGATAGCAGCAGGAGACTCGGAGAACGCTGAGAAATCCAAACAGCGCACGTGCGCCTCTGCTAATGACGACAATAGCGAACCTAAAATGTTTATGTATTTATTTACTGAGAGCTGAGGATATGAACGAGATAAATAAAAAAATCTCAGTGATGTATTTATTTTCCATATTTACAACAAACGCCTTTGAAGAGTGTTTTTGACGCAGGAGAAGGGTAACCAAATTGCCTTAAAATTTTGGGCGAGAACATCTTGGTTCTCTCAGACGCATATGAGCCTAAAGCTCCTTAGCGGGGAATTCTCATTCAGGTAGGATATGTATATGGTTTAAATGAGTTTATCCAGATAAGATATTTGTTTGTATAATTGGATTACCCTTCGGTGGAAAGGAAGGAGCGAAGAATGGATTGCACTAGACGCGAGGTTTACGGTGTCAAGGCAGCCCACTAGAAATCAGGATAGAGGTGGTCAGTGGTGCAGGGATGAAAGAAATACCATGAGAAATGGCCTAAATGAAATAGGACCCTGTCTTAGCCCGCGTTGAAGCGACTTTCATCGGTGCTGCCCTCTTCGACGTAAACGCTTTGTCTGCTAAACGGCTAGAGCCAGACGGTGAGAGCGGGGGTAGCAGTGCGGGGCAGGTATGGCTCTGCTAAGCCGCTGAGTACACCCTTCGCTGCGAAGCGCGCATAGTACGCACCCTTAAAGGAGCCGCCTACCACTTCACTAGGCATGCTTCCGTAATAAGTTCGGAGGTCGAAAAGTGGAAGCACTCGTAGTGAAAAGGCAGGCGGGCCCCGTGACGATGTGCACTTCTCAGCAAAGGACGTGCTTCCAGCGGCCTCGCAAGGCTTGCCAGCCCACCCCTCACCGCCTGACTCCAGCCGCTGTGGCAGAGAAATCCTCGGTTTGATAGGTCAGCACCGATGAGAACGCACAATCATGGGCAAAAAGGGTCACATCCTCGGGTTCTGAGGCGTTTCTCATGGTCTTACCTTCATCATGCGCCTGGGGAAACCTCTCCCTTGACTTCTGATGGGTGCCTGTTGAAAATGGAGTTTGGAAGGGCCATCTTATCTAATCTAAATAGGGTTGCGGGAAGTCAGTCATATCTTATCATATTTTTCAAGACCGTGGCCTACGACCAGTACTTCACTCTTGTAACCCTTGTCATGTTATTCTATGGCGCTGCTATCTTGCTGACTCTTCATTTTCACCCACCCTTCTTGCGGGGCCATGCAAGCCTTCGAAAAAGGGCCTTCAGGTATCCGATTTTGTATGGAACCCCTGTTGGTATCCCTATCTAATCATACACTCAGAGACTGTGCTCTGGATGTTGATTAGATATGACCGCCCTTCCGCAGCTCCACTTCGATTAGATATTGCCAGTTCGATTAGATATTATGAGTGGCCCCCTCCAACTACATTTTCACCGGGCTCTCCTTTCCTTTTTATTTCCGAATCCGAGAGACAATGTGGAAAAAATCACTCAATCGAACTCATGCTTTTTTGAAAGAGACTTCACTATTCAAATAAGAAATCTTTTGGACAATGCATGCATAGAAAAAAGACAAAAGCGAATGAATAAGTGTAAAAGATTTACCCTGCACGTCTACCCATAGGATGTTTTCGACTTCGTTTTGATGTTTCGCGTCCAGTCGCATTCGGATTTCTTTGAGTTTTCGAAGATCTAAAGCCGCTTTGATGCCGCTGAACACTTCCGTTCCAGTCATATTCTCCAGAACTAGCGCGTCCAAGCTCCGAAACGATGACAACCGCCGCAGTGACTCCTCGCCCATGCACCATGAGAAGTACGGGTTTTGTGAGCACAACAATAAGGACCTGAAAGTGAAAGATTAGTCTTAAGGTACTAGCGAAAAATATTAGTGCACTGCACATACAGGATACCTGCACAAAAAATAGGACATTGTGAAGCGACACATGGAGCCACTAGCCACGCCAACAGCCTGAGCAGCAGATTCCGGATCGAGTCCCCGCTAATTTAACCAATTTTTCAACTCTACGAGGAAGTTTGGTGGGTATCGGACGCACCAATGGGTAAGAGAAAAAGTGGAGTGAGTTGCGTATCGGTTCGCTGTCAAACCAGTGTATATTGCATCTCGAGAGAGTCACGGAATTCAGTTGTACAATCAGTTTCCGTGGAAAAAATCCTTCAAAACACACTTCGTGTACGACAGACACTTGGTTGCACCCAAGGGAAACGAGCATGGAACGAAGAACGTGGTGGGTTGGCCACGCGTTCAGCGAGAAGGGATTGAATTCAACCATCAGATTTTTGAGAGTACAAAAAAAACGTGCAAACGCGACAGATTTGGATGTAATAGCAGATTGAAATTTTTGTGCTTTTCCAAGTTACACCGTCCCAAGAAAAAAAGAGCATGTAGTCGCCAAAGTTTGTGACAGTTGCGCGGCAATTAGAAATTGAACGAGGAATAGTTTTCCTAGATTTCCGGATTTCTTTGTGGAACGATCACGATTTTTGACCTCATTTTCGTACTCATCATGTATGACTGTTGTAAGAGACCGGTTGATGGAGAAGATGAAGTTATGCTTCTCCTGACACGACCAATTGAAGTACCGCTACAGAAAGTCAAAGTCCCTATAGCGGAGCAGAGTTAGCCAAAATGGGACTGTTTAACGCCAAAAACCTTTTCCTTTACCCAGCCCTTCAGCTAAAATAATTGAAGAACTTTTATCTGGCAAAAACCCCAGTCAAATATTGAGGGTGGACGATGCAGCGCTCACAAAATCCATGAGAAACCACTCTGCTCGAATAGTATTGCTTCATCCCTGTAGGATGAAATGTTTTGTTCCCGATTCGCCTGGTAGCGTTTGAATATGGAACAACAACCCAAAGAAACACTACTACTTCTCATTGTAACCGAAGACGTGGCTCATCCCGAACGGATTGACTATTTCGTACTTATTGATTCTATAGCAGACAAGAAACGCAAATTGCTCACTTTGGATCTAGAGTACCACACATTTCCTCGCAGAATGCGACGGCATGTGCGAATCGCTCATCTACTCGTCTCGCTATCAACCGTCGTCCCCTTTTCAGAACATCGACTCGAAGAGCGACAATATCGAGGTAGGACAGCAACTAAAATGTACATGGAATTCATGACCGCAACTACCCTCTGCTTCCGAAAACCACATGAGCGTCGAGTGCAGACCACACACCACAAGTGACGACGGCCTCCACAAAATGTAAATGTTTTCTGCCAATGAAATGATTAGCCTGTTGCATTTATCAGTTGTCACTAATTACAACTATCATTTACCAAAATCAGCTATCACTATGAACCACTACTAACCAGATTTACTTGGAGGCCGTCGTCACTTGTGGTGTGTGGTCTGCACTCGACGCGCATCTGTTTTCGGAAGCAGAGTATAAATTCTTTAACTTTTCCAGCAATGATTCAAAATCACTCACAGATTTTACCGTGGCAGAATCAACTTTTTGAACGCCACCTTTTGAGTCCCATTCGGCATTCATCCCACATCGCTTGTGCTGTATGTAGATCGCCCGCAAGCGGGAGTCGTTGCCGCGAAGACATGCTCGACGCTTAGATCGGTAGTCTGTAAGTTCGCCTCAGTTTTGATGACGCTTGTAAATGCTCCCTTAGAAGCGCTATACTGAGTCGGGTGGAGCTGAGGCTTCCCTCGCCCACCCAGGAGGCCGACGTCCACTAGCCCTCTCACAGCCCAAATTAGCTTCCATTTGTTAGCGAGGAAATTCACGCCCAACGATACAACTGTCCGATTAACATCGCCCCGATGTAAAATCACATGTTGTATCCCTTCCTTTATCGTCGTGCACCACTTCCAAGATTGTAGATGTAGGAACTCAATAAAATAAGCTTTACCTGGATGAGATGTGTCAAAAGTGGTGAAGTGGTACTGCATGATTTCGCCCCAGCCCCGCGACTCCTTCTGACCATTTTTCGTAGTACCTAGCATGGCCTGGGTTTGGTTAAAGATTCTATCGGCGTTCCATCCTTTCCATGAGTGTTTCATCTAAAGTAACAGGAACGGTTAACATACGATTGCTAAAGTTGAGTCAGCTAACGCCTTCATTTGTCAGTACTTGTGAGAAGATTTGGCGTGTTCACACTTGCCTATATTTCGGTAGCTCCATAGATATCTGATTGTGTGACACCATCGAGAAGAACAATCCTGGGAGGGGCGGGGGAAGGGCGGAGTAGGGGACTCGTTCGAAGAGTTAGCACCATCATACGATTGGAGATGAGTATTATTGCCGTTGCTGTAGTGTAGTTGCAACGAATACCTCATCGCTCGAGCCTCGAGCAGAACATCTCTGGAGCCGATTTTTGATTTTGCTACCCAGTTCGTGTTTTCACATCTGGTGCGCTGGGAACGTTTAGCCAAAATGGTCGTCTTTCATTTCATACAGCGCTTCCCATGGCTCTGCTTAAATTTCACCCTAATTCCAATTCCAAGAAAAGGCACACCCTCTCTGTCTTTGGTTCCCTCCATGGCCACATTCAGCTTCAACAGCCAGAATCATACGTCGTCCATGATTTCCCACCGTATCCTCTGTTGTCCCAGTTGCGAGGCTCCCTCTTTTCCCTACGTACTCATTC